GGATGACCTGGGAAATACTTATTAACTGCCTTCACTGAGAGGAGCAGTGCTCGGAGCAGCCATGCACGTTTCGTGGCATTTGGGGCAGCTTCAGACCTCAAGCCAGAGCTTTTGCCTGGAAACCTTAGTGTTTATTTATGAAATCTCAGCTTCTTTAGGAAGAAAAGAGCGTATCACTCGAGAAGAGACAAGCGTCTCTGAGCGGGGAATGACACTGAGGAAAAAACAGCTGATATCAAGGTAACAGCTTTGGCTCATCAAGGTCTCCATCTCCTCCACCCAGAGCTGCTCCGAGATGTAAATCAAGTGCAAAAGCCACCCTGGCTCTCCAGGCTCCTCTCAGCCCCCTGCCCACGTGCCTGCAGCACCCGCCACCACTCCCGGCGTCTGGAAATAAACAGCCTGTTCCAGCACCACTTGGTATTTCCAGAAAGGTTAACACAGCGTGAGAGGGGCCAGAGCCACCGCTCGGGGGGCTGGAGAGGCTCCAGGCAAACCTGCCAGGGTTCCGGGGCTCCCTGCTTGGCAGGTGACCTCCTGGGTCACCCCTGAAGCGTTTGCTTCAAGCTTTGATATTTTCAGGCTTTGCGCTGCTAAGGCTTCCTTCTCCCACCCCCACGTTTCCCCACCAGCATTCCCGCCTCTGAAAAATCAACAGGAATGTCAAGCTGAGAGGGGAAGCCTGAAGGTCTACATCCATGGGGCAAGCCAGGAGTTTCCCCCCTGCTTTGGAGCTTTATCCCAGTTTTCCGGCACCCCTTCTATGGGGAGCTGCTGTTGGTCCTGGTGCAATTCCCAGGGGATGGAGCAGCAAAGCAGCTGTGCATGGACAAGTTCCACAACTTGCTCCATAAACACACACACTCTGGGGCTGGGTTTGCAAACCAGGCTGCTGGGACAGACAGAAAATGCTTGGAGATGCTGCTTTATCCAAGCCAGTGGTTAAAACAGAGCAAAGCATAGAAACTCATACTTAGGGATGATCACTTATCAGGGGAAAAAAGGGAGGGCACTAAAGCACCTGGATACCTGCATTTAAACCAGAGTTTGAACTTTCCTTACCCCAAACCAAGCCACTTACCCTTCTGTTTGGAAAGAAGAGTTGGGAGACATCCCCAGCCACTCACCACAGGCAGACCTTTTCCACCCAGTGTACCTCAGTTAGACCCTTCCCTCCCTGCTGGGCTGTACTGGCCTCTCCAGGTGCCAGCTGAAACGATTTTAAAGCCTCTGGCTGGGCCAGGAAAGGCTGATCCATATTCCTGAGGTCTCATTGCTATTCTGCAGCTTCAGCTCATTAGTGCTTAGGTGCTACAAGAGCGGGAGCGTTGGAAGTTTCTGGGTGAGACAGCTATTAGGGGAGAATTGAACATGTCTCGTACAAACCCATGGCCTGTGTGAACTCGCTAATTTACACCATCGATCTCAAAGGTGCCCACAGGCCACCTGAACCAAAAAAAAAACCCTGTCCTAGATACAGGCTCAGCCACTGGGGGAAAAAAAAAAGAGAAAACTTAAGCAAAATAAATAACCTGCAGCCCCAGAAAACTGGCTGCATCATCACACCCCCTGCTAATCCATTAGCCAGCCCTCCTCTGCACGCAGCTCTTAGGAACGGTGTGAGCTCCAGCTCAGGAGCTCCTGGAGAGAACCACCATAGAATAGAATCACAGAATGGTTTGGTTGGAAGGGACCTTAAAGATCGTCTTGCCATGGGCAGGGACACCTTCCACTATCCCAGGTTGCTCCAAGCCCCGTCCAACCTGGCCTTGGACACTTCCAGGGATGGGGCAGCCACAGCTTCTCTGGGCAACCTGTGCCAGGGCCTCCCCACCCTCACAGCCAAGCATTTCTTCCATTTATCTAACCTTAATTTCCTGTCTTTCAGTTTGAACCCATTGCTCCTTGTCCTATCACTACGGTTCCTGATGAACCAGCCCAGCAAAGGGCCAGTATGACCAGTACAGACACCCTCATTGTACCAAGGGAGTGCACTGGGGGTCTGCCCTCTTACAGCGACTGCTCCCAGCACACGTGCTCAGCACAGGGCAGGGAAAGCTCTTGGCCCTTCATTTGAGGAGGGCTGAGCCACTGCAGCCCTGACGGTCCCCATGTCCCCTCTCTGTGTTGGATGTGCTGAGTTCTCCCTTCTTTGCAGCGGGAGTTGTGTCCTCGCCCGGGTTTGAGCTCTGCCTGTTCACACCTCGTGACAGTCCCGTGGGGAAGTCACCGGGCAGAAATAACCTCTTTTTGCCTCTGTTTAAGACAAATGGGGAGGAAAAAACCCCACCTTTTCTCCTAATAAGGGAACTCAAAGTGATGAATTTTCCACTTATCCTGAAGTTCTTCCCTCGGAGGCACTGATGCATTTTTAATGGTCTCGATGTAGCTATTAAGCTGGTAATTGGAACAGAGCGGACTCCAGCTCCCGGCAGGTCGGGCCCCCTCCGAGCGTGTCCCCACGCCAAGCGGGTGGATGTTTCTGGGGTCTCTGCTCCTCCCAGCATCGCTGACCCTGCTCGGCCCCGTGTCCGGGCAGATCATCACCACCAAGGTCCCGGCGCTTGAGGTGCTTGTCTCCGGCCTGATCCTGCCTGAAGAACGCTGACAGGGAAAATACTTGGAAAAGGAACCGTCCCCTTACTCCCTGTCCCACTGCGAGGAGAGGTGAAACGCCGCCCCCGCCTCCCGAAGCTGAAGCTCCGCCGCCCGTGTGGACGATACCCCGGACCACTCCCGGTCACGCACCTCCGAGGGAGGACTGGGGGTGCTAAGGAGGGGTGAGGGGTGTCACAGCGGGTTGAGATGGGAAGGGGGGACCCCGCCGCGTCCCGCCGCCGGCGGAGGCTCATCCCGCCCGCTCCCGGCTCATCCCGCCGGTCCCGGCTCATCCCACCCGCTCCCGGCTCATCCCGCCGGTCCGGGCGCCGGGCGCTGCCTCCCCCTCGCGGCCGCGGGCAGCGCGTGCTGCCCTGAGACCCCCACCCTGGAGTTCTCCCCCACTGTCCTGTTCAGGAACCCACTCCCCGGCCCCCTCCCACCCTCCTTCCCAGCCCGGCGCGGGGGGAGCAGGGCCCTGGGTATCCCCTGGCAGCACTCCCGGAAGAGGATGCTCGGGGGGGGTATCACTCCTGGGATGAGGCTTTGGGGGGTCCCGGGTTGTACAACTCCCAGATTGGGACCAGCATCACCCCACAACAGGAAGAGAAAGTACAAGAGTAGCAGGATCCCTCCCCAGGCTGCCACCCCTTAATCCCTTGGGGGCTGTTCTGGGAATCCTGGGATCTAGGGGTCCCAGCTTGTACAATTCTCAAATCAGGACCCCCGGCCAAGATGCCACCCCCAACATCCTCAGGCTGCTTGGGAGCCTGAACAGCCCAAGGCTGATGCTCAAAAAGTAACAAGAGGTGCCAAGAAGCAGCTTTGAGGATGAATTTTATTGAAAACAAGGACTGGAGTTGAGGGGTACAGACCATTCCCAGAAGTACAAGGGGAGTGGGGCTTCTGATGAAAGCAAAAATCCTCACCCACCTTAAAGCCAAGCTGATTCCCCCACAGGGAACTGCCAGGGCAGAGGGAACAACACAGGACAGGGAAGTGCAGAGGTGAAGGGATTAGGACAGGTAAGATCCCTGTCAAATGAAGCAGAGCAGATGGCACTCAGAGGTGATGTTTGCCTCTTTGGCAATGCCTCATTTCATGCACAGGGCCCCAAGCCCACCCCAGAGGCATCTCCCCCCTGTTTGAAAGGGCAGTTGCTCCCTTTTCCCAAAATACAGAAATCAGGACTTTCTCCAGGAGGAGAAATGCAGGGGGGAGGAAAAAAAAAAAGACATGCAAAACCCCCCACCATTCCCCAAAGCACCAAAAAAAGGGGTGAGATAAAGGAAGGGGAGAGGGGTCAAAACAAAGAAGGAAGGGGGAAAAAAAAAAAAAGCTCAACATCAAAAGAAAAAGTAATCCAAGGTAACCAACTATGAAAAAAAATACAATTGTACATCTCAGCAGCAAAGCCTCCAAACCGAGCGGGTACAGGTGAGCATCGGGTGGTTTGCAGAGCAGGATGAGGAGGAGGGAGACATGAACATCAATCACTTACTTATTTTCCATCCAGGTGGGCTGGGGGGGTCAGGATTGAACCAAAGCTGAACAGGGTTTGTGCAGCTCCACCTGGGCTGGTTTTCTCAGGGTTTGTTGACTCAGGGAAGGGGATCAGAGGGATGACAGGGGGAAAAGAGCTGCTGCCTGGTGCCCCAGCATGGGGACATGAAGGACTGAAAACCACCTGCCCCAAAGCAGCTTTCCTGGGAGCAGCTGGCAGGGATAGATGGTGTGGAGCACCCCAGTTCCCAGGCAGAGGGTCCCCAGTGCCACTTTCCCAGTGCTGCAGGAGGTGGGAGCAATGAATTTAAGGGGACATAATCCTTCATTGGAGGGGGGACCCTGAACGCTGGAAATGCACCCTGAAATGCAGACCTCCAGGGCTTGAATTTCAGGATTAACGTTTTTAAAAGATTCAGTTAAAAAATAGATGTCTTTCTTAAAAAAAAAAAAACCACCAAAATCCACACCCGGTGCATTTATCTGTGATCATGTACAGTAGAAGCCAGAAATCCCTCCTTGCTCCCGTGGCTCCTTCGGGCTGGGAGCGTGGGGAAACACATCA